AAAAATAGATGTTATTTTTCATTCAAACTAACCTGCATACGGCCTTGATGCTAACTTTAAAAAGAAGTTTGTACGTGTAAAAAAGAAAACAAAGAGGCTTATTTTGCATTTTCTAAATGTTACATCACCTCAACCCTACTTTTTTTGATTAGGCAAAAATAATTTCAATGCTATTTAAACATTAGCAAGACTACTATCCGTCAAGTCACGAGAGGAAGTATGGACATATAATCTTACCCGGGTTTACCCTATAATTTCACATGTTTATTTACCCAGCAATGCTTTGGGTTTTTTTTTTTTTAATCTCAATCAGATTTTTTGTTGCCGTTGGAGCAGCAGAGTTGCACAACAGGTGTGGACAGAGAAGAACAAAGACAGACAATAGGGGCTGAGCGGAGGGGGAGCCGCATTCATCTGCTGTCTGTGTTATCATAACAAATCTCAGTGTGTCAGGGAGGGGCAGCGGCACAGACCGAGCGAGAGACGGGGAAAGAATGTATAAATATGACAGAAATGGATTTACTTCCAACCCTGTCATGTAGTGAGTGACAGTCAGCGTGCTGCCGGTGCGAGCCTCCCATCTGTCTGCGGCGTTTTAACACAGCGGTGCCGTCCCAGCACCTACACGAGACCGACTCGCCGATCCATCTTCCCTCCTCGCTCCCCGCATCCGTCTTCCCTTCTCCGCTGGACAGAAATATGCGAGCTGCCGTGAAGTTTTGAAGGGCCAGGGGTAGTGAATTAAGAAGGGTTTTATGGAGAGTAAATATTTGGGATTGCAGAGACGTGCCTTACAGTTATGAAGGAGCCGAGACGGAGGCAGAGGGAGGAAATTGATTTATGGATTGATAATATCCATCCTGCATGTCCCTGCAGAGCACACGATACTAAGCAGTCTGCATGCATGTGTGTGTGTGTGTGTGTGTGTGTGTGTGTCGCCACTTGCCAGGTAGTCCATCTTAACCTGTCACGGTGATAACTGCAGGCATCGACAGGTGGCCGGCTACAAGTTTATGTCTTTTGAAAACTTTTTTTTTTTTTTGCATCAGCACTGAGAGACAAGATACGCTGCATATGAAAGCAACTATGCAGGAAACTGGTGGCCACATGGGTATGATTAGAGTCAGGCACAAATTTTTGGCTCAGATACAACAATGGAGAGGGAAAAAAAAGGGCTGAACATCCAGGCTGGTTTGTTGAATCCTTCATAATTCAACATTTAGATGAGGCACATCGCCTTCCCCGATCAATTCCTTAGAGTGAATGATGTTTCATTTTAATTCAAACTCCCGCTGTCACATAAAACACAACCCTGCTTGAGGCTTTTGCCCTCATTTTTCCTTTTTTCCGACCACCGGGTTGCCAGCACGCATAATCTAACCTGTCAGGTGTGAATGCTGATGAGAAGATTAACCCAATCTACAAAAAAACAGATCTTTTGGCAAGGGGATAAAATGAGAAGAGGAAGTGAGCGGAGCTGGAGACAATCTAAGCTGGGGAAGGGGGGGGCAGGGTGACAGAAAAAACAGCCTGGAGGTAAAGGAAGGAGAGAGAAAAAACAGCCTGCAGATGCATCTAACAGACAGACACACTCTTGAGTACCTGGATTGTACAAGACTTTGACACTCAAGTGCTAATTTTAAGATGTTTTTGTTTTGTTTAAAAGACAATAGTGGTGTTGTTTGCAGCAGAGCAAAGGGGAAAAGGGAGGGGATAGGAAAAGGGAGGGAGATGGGTAAGGGGGAAGAGAGAAAGCTGTGTGACTGAATGGAACTTTTTCATGGGCACAACTCATGCTGGAGGAGTCCGCCCTCAGAGGTCCGAGCGGCGGCCACAAGAGTCTGTGGAGCCCCGGTGTGTAGCTCCGGTGCTTTAACCTCCACTTTGAAAGATAATCACACTTTTTTTTTTTCTTTTTTCTTGATAACACAGCGGCACCAATTGGCCAAAACCCACAAGCACAGACGCACCCAAGAGTTTCCTCTATTTCCACCGCAGCTTCTTGACGTGTCTCCTGCCTCATTACAGTTAATCATTATTAGTCCTGAAACACTTCCAAAAGTTTTGCCACAGCAAACTCTCTCTCATTCCTTGAGTTTAATGTGTATTTTGCCAACTATTTCCGCCGGTGACACTCACCACAGCGCAATGCGGTCCTTCGGGTAGTTGAGGCGCTCGACGGCTCCGAGGAACAGCGGCAGAGAGTGCGCCGAGTTGCGGCAGACCAGCGCGATGACGACCCGGGGAGCGAGGAGCGGCGACTCGGGGCTCCAGCGCTCCTCGGGGAAATACCCCCGGCTCGGGCCCGGCAGGAGAACGAACAGCAGCAGGGCGGGCAGCAGCGAGGTGACCCGGAGCATGGCAGGGTGGAGGGGTTGGGGAAGCGAGAGACCCGAGAAGCGACGCGGCGGACAGAGAAGGAGACGGAGGATGTGGAGAAGCCGAGCGCCCCGCTGTTTGTGTTATGCCGACAGTGTGTACATGGCGGAGCAGCAGGCGGAATTAAAGGGCACGTCCGGGCTGCGTTTAGGGGAACTCGGTGTTCTAGAAACGTCGGTGGGTCCCAGCCTCTGTGAGCCTGTTGGAAATGAATCCTATCGCTGCTTCTCCTGCCAGGTTAGGTTAGGATGGCTCCTGTAAAATAACAATTGTAATGTATAAATAACATTTATGTCCCATTAGCCCATGTGGACTAATACGTTTCTCTACGGTATAGGCTGTCCTCCCCTTTAAGAACAGATCCAGCTGTAGTCCATAGGAAGCCGATGAAGAGCCATTTGGGCGTGTCGATGTGGACTCGCTGCAGGCCTGTCATGCCTCTGGAGGAGAGACTGGAGTTCAGAAACTGTGAAGCTGGTGAGTTTCCCTTCTACTCTGCAGCAGTGGGCTTTATGTCTAGTAAAGTGAAGAAAAATCTTCTTGTTTGTGACCCCTAATAATGAACCTGATGTAAAAAAAAAAAAAAAACTAAAATAGTTATTATATGAAGATACAATGAATAGTAAAAAGTCAGGCTGCATCAGGTTGCCCTCCAAGATTTCCCGAGACTTTGCAGCATTCATTTTACCCTCTAGCTTTACAAACTTTTGAAGGCCTGCTGCCACACATCATGATGCTACCACCGCCATGCTTTCCCCTGAGTAGGGTAAGTTTGTGATGATGTATATTGTTTGGTGTATTTGGGTGCCATGGGTCCTCCAGTGTCACACATTTTGATCAACCCCCATGTAAAATAAAAATTTAAATAAGTAAGCTAAACTTAAAGTAGAACAAAAAAGTAACACGTGATAGTGGGAACTATACTGAAGAAATGAAGTAATATTGCACATGAAAACAATATAACATATTACATACTACAAATTCTAATGAAATGTTGCCAGATTTTATTATCATCTGAAATATTACTTTGTTGCTTCAGTATAGTTGCCAGAATTACGTTACTTACTTTTTGTTCTAGTTTTAGTTTAGCTTGTTTTTATTTTTTAATAATGTATCATACTTAGATTTTGTTGCTATGCTATCAAGCACATAGCTCATGCTATGACAAACAATATCTGCCACGAGAAGAAGATAGTAAAAAAGATGGTAAAGTTCTATCTTGTCTTATCTTATCGTGGAAAAAAGAACAGCGTTTTTGAATATGTTGTGCCTGATGAGAAGGAAAGAAGTCTCAACACTGACGTTTACCAGAAACCTACACACACAGACCATACATTTGACTCCCACCACCCACTAGAACATATGCTCGGCCCATTAGAACTGTACACCACTGGGCTGAGAATGTCCTTGTAAAGACAGAGTGGAAACAAGAACAGCGCACACATATTTGGAAGGCACTTAAAACTTGTGGCTATCCAAACTGGGCCTCAAATAAGTCAGCAAAACTGCACAATATCAAACAGAGAAGAACAGGAGGAGCAACATATCCATCCCGTATGGAGCTGGTGTGTCTGAGAAACTTAGAAGAAATGCTCACTTTCTGGACAGACAAGACTGATGGTTTGAGAGTTAAGGAGGCCATCTATGTCAAACTGAAACAACCATCTCTAAACAGAGGAGGATTTTTACGACACCACTTATCAGGTGCCTATAATGCATTTCTCAGATCCCTCTCCAGGCAGTTTCACACCCATTCACACCTTGAGGCTGCTAATGGGTACACGAGTCCTGTGATTTGGGGCTGAGATTAAATACCCGGGACTCCCCATCAGTTGGTTAGAACTGAGGAAGCCTCTTGGATGAGAGAGCCAAAAAAAAAAAAAAAAGTCCAGTTTACATCTACTGAAGCACTTTGAATGATGCTGCTGCTCACAAGGTTTTCATTATTATATTCATAATTGTTTAGTGTATGAAATGACAGAATTAGGTGAAACATGCCCATCACAATTTCCTAGAATTCAAAGAGTATTGTCTTCCCAAGATGTCCTACAAAGAAAGCAAAGAGCAGCTAATCCACACATCTGACAAGCTGAAATTAGCACAGTGGCATTTTTGCTTCATTGTAACATCTTAATTAAACATTAAAATAGCTGCTGATTGATTTTTGTGTCCCCTGACAAATTACTATTAAACCGAACTTCAAAACAGACATGCAGTAGCAGAAGTGTAGTGAGTTGATGGGAATGATTTCTTTGCAAATTGTTTTTTTTCCCCTTTTAGCTTTTTAGTTTAATTAATAGTACATTTTACAATCCAAATGCATGTAGAAGAGGCTAAGCATTTCATAGCTGCCAGTTTTTATGCTCAAGTTTGATGTGAAAAATTGCAAACAGAAATAGAAAAATACAGAGGCTGGGATCTCTAAGGTTATTCTGTACTGTACTAAACTTAACTTAACACCCTGTGCTGTTCTGCAGTTCCTTCATGGCTTAGTTAGATGGATGTGTTCGTCGACATCAAGCAGTGAGAGCATATGTTATTCTGAGTTTTCTTAGCTGGCGAAAGTGTCTTCCCAGTCAGACATGGTTCTTAGTGTGAGTGTTTCAGAGTCTGATGAAGAGCCTTGAGAGTTTTGGCTGGACTTCTGCTGGCAGTCCCTATGAGGCGGCAGCTTGTGGTATACTGATTTGGAGAAGCCAGAGCTGGAGCTGCAGGGGTTGTTGGGACTGAAGGGGAGAGGCACGAACTGCTGTGGTAGCGAGTACCTCATCACTGCAGGAAGGAAACAAAACAAAACACTCTATTGTAGCATGCGGAACACACAACTCAACAGGACCTAAAAAGTGAAGGATTTGCAATGTTTGGATGAACATGCCGCAGTTTATTTTATCACTAACATGACCAAAAGTTATCTAGTAACTGAGAATCACATACTATACCTGACTGGATGTAAGAGCTCAGGTTGTCTCTCAGGATGGAGGCAAAGATGGTGTCAGGGTGGATGAAGGGGGCTTGTTCTGACTCGATCATGGCATCATAGCGGGACAGATCCTAAAACCAAGTGGAGCAACCGTTAAAATAAGGACTAAAATGGAGAACACAGCACTCACACATAAAGATGTAAAGACACGCACCTGCTCCTTCACACCTTGTACAAATGCTGGCAGTGCTATCTGCAGGATCATGTCCAGAATTAATCGAGATCGCAGAGCCAACAGTTCTGTTTCCAGGTGCTGTGCGAAATGAACATGTCCAAATGGGAAACAGGCAAACACAGGGAGATGTGTAATTGCTTTGCAGTTCAGTCAGTGACAACAGAATTTTTTAAAAACTCGAGGGTATCGGAGCAGGGTTTTTCCTCAAGCCCGTCTTATCACACACCTTCAGCACTCTGTCTTTGATTCTGCACAGCACTGCGGTGAGCTGGGAAGACTCGGAGGCGAAACATGGATACCGTGAGATCAACCTCCAAAACATCACAGCACACATGCCGACCACCTGGTAGAGAAATTTGATGACGAAAATTTTTAAATGGTGCTGTTTCCCCCAATTTACTGGTTACATAAACACGTTGGTTAAATTACTTTGTAGAGAGCATCCTGAGCTTTGAGCACCAACGGTCTCCAGGTTCCACTGTGGACTCCCCATGTGTCCTGGAGCCAAACTCGGCTCTCTGAGCTCAGCTGAAGCCTGTCCAGGCATTTCCACATCCTGGAATCATCTGGTCTGAAGCCGCTCAGAGGTGACATCACCTGGGATAAAAACAATTTTTTTTACATATATTTAGAATGAGCCGCCAGCTTTATCAGTTCACATTAGAGCTACTTAGAACAGACACAATTAAACACGAGTTTACCGGAGTTCATTGATAAGCTATCCACATGTATTTCCCTTCATTACTCCTAAGAACTATTACAAAGAATATGATTGTAAAAGAAATGTTGCATAAACTTCCGTTAAAGTTTTTATCGCCTCAGGACATGCAACAATTCACATACCATCACATGATTATACCACTGCAGCTGCCAGTCAAACAATGGAGTTGGCAGAAGAAGCTTTAAAAACAGTCCTGCTGTCACCTGAGGGAAAATTTGATCAAAGCTCCTCCTTCTGTTGTTGTTGAATGCACAAACAAAATCTTCAGCTTACTGTATTCATTTCGAACACTGATTGAGAAGTTTGACCACGAGAAGCTTTATTTGTGGCCATCTGATCACAGATTATGCTATCAGAGCCTCAATGTGGACATAAATTGTCTGCAGTTTAACCAAAAAGGGGATTTTTTTTCCCAGTTTATTTCATTTGGAGGGCTTTTGAAGGTGTGAAGAACTGAAAGTATCACACATATCAACGGGGGAGGGGGGGGGAGATAGACAAAAAAATTGGAGAAAAGACAGAAAAAATAAACACCATATTCTGTGTTATCTTTTTAATCATCAAGGCACCCCTCAGGGTTTTCTCACAGCTCATTGTGTGGTCTGGATCCTCAGGTTTGGAACCACAGGGAGAGTATTTAATTGCTTAGCATATTAAAATAATGGAATCCATCTGAGATTTTTCACTTTTAAATTGGAGAACTATCCATGGCACATCTTCCATAGGTTTTTCTCTCCATTTATTTTTAGTCAAGTAGTTCTACCTCTTTCACACACGTGCTTGTTGAGCCCACATCTATGATGTCTTCACAGGTCTCCAGGAAGTAATTCCAGGTAGATGCAAATCCATTGCAGATGGGTGTGGCTACTTCCTGCAGACTACGATCGAGTCTTGGTATGATTGTATGTAGAAGGGATTGTAACATCGGCTCACATATGTCCTCTAAGGTGAAAAGAAACACAGCAGCACGAAGAATGAACACGAAAAACCCTGCCCGGTCCTGATTAATATCTTTTGCTTTCACTGATAAACACACCTGTCATTGTGTGAGCGATGTGGTCTTGCAGCAGAGTGGCCTGTTGGAGTCCTGCAGAGATCTGCTTCTCCATGTCAGAGCGATAAAGTGACAATTCCTCCCACAGAACTACCATGGCAGCATTCACCTGATGTTTTGCTGTTTTATAAACCTCAGACAGCAACTGAAG